GTAGGACATGCAAGGGCCATTCCAACTCATACCTTGCAGGGGAAATACCATGGTATAAAAGTGGTTTTCTCAGGGGGAGGCTCATCCATTGCACTTTGGGTGTGCTGTTGATCCCTGTGATTTCCCCAAATGTGGGGAACTCAACTGCACAAATTGTGTTAATGGGAGATTGCACTTTTGATTTCACTGTTTTTTCTAGATTTCTTTTCACCTCTTTCTCCTCATCAGGACCTATTGCAAAGGCAGCAAGTCCTGGTGATGTCTTGCCTTGTATTGTATTTGTGAAGGCTTTCACGGCCGGGATCTAATGGTTGTTGTGGGTTTTTCGGGCTCTTTGGCCGTGTTCTGAAGGTGGTTCTTCCTAACGTTTCGCCAGTCTCTGTGGCCGGCATCTTCAGAGGACAGCACTCTGTGCTCTGGTGTAGTTGGCTTGGGATTGCAGTATTTATGGCTGTGAGATAGGCTTTTGTCTTTTTCTGTAGATGGGTGATTAGTGTGTCTTGTTGTGGGTGTATTGTGCTAAGGAGAAGAGATTATCTGTCACTGTGGTTGATGGATGTTGTTAGTTGGTCTTTTGTGTGTAATGATCCCCTGTCCTTGTGGCTGGGTAGAGTTCGTTGACCTTTTGCACACTGTATTTTTGAGAGCTGTATTTTTGTTGAGCTTCACACTTTCCTCTTTTTTGTTGAAGTTCTGCTGGTGCTTGTGGATTTCAATGGCTTCCCTGTGCAGTCTAACGTAATGATTGCTGGTGCTGTCCAGTATTTCAGTATTTTGAAATAGAATTTCATGTCCAGTTTGTTTTAGGGCATGTTCAGCTACTGCAGATTTTTCTGGTTTTTTTTAGTCTGCAGTGTCTCTCATGTTCTTTGATTCTGGTGTGGATGCTTCGTTTTGTGGTTCCAAGCCAACTACACCAGAGCACAGAGTGCTGTCCTCTGAAGATGCCGGCCACAGAGACTGGCGAAACATTAGGAAGAACAACCTTCAGAACACGGCCAAAGAGCCTGAAAAACCCACGATAACCATGTCTTGTATTGCATTCTTTCTCTTTTTCTCCCCTGTGTCACAAACTCCATGGGCTCAACTTTAGAGCTTACACGTAAAACATATGGGCACTTTATTTACAGTTGTACTACAGGTTTGGAGAATCCCTGCAACCTCAGAAGTTACAGGTTAAGGGGCACAGACCAGTCCTTGGGTCCCTTCTCCCTCACTGGGATACTCAGATATCTGCACTGAAGGTCCCCACAGTTCATAAGATTTTGCCCAGCTCAAGGAGTGTTTGTACAGTCCTTTATAAAAGTCCTGGCTACTCAGCCCTGCCCTTCCTCCTAGTCCTTACCTCTGCAGGATGATGACTTGGGGGAAGGCTTCCCTGTCCAGGGTCCTTCAGGAGGATGATTGTCACACGGCACTCCTGGCTCCCTTGAACAGCAACAGGGGCAACTCTGGGGTATCAACCCAGGCCCCTTCACCTTCTTCCTCCTTCTCCTCCTCTTCTTCTTCTTCACAAAGCCCTGTCTTCCTTCCTTCCTTCCTATTAGGCTGGTGGCTGCCTCAGGCACTTGTTCCTCATTAGGCTGCTAGACCTGCCCCAACTGTCTTCTCTCTCTTTTTCCCTGGGCCTGAACTTCTTTCCCAGCTGAGCTCCCTCAGCCCTCTTAAATGGGTCCAATGGTTCGCTGTGGGCATACTGCTATCTGGCATGCCCATCCTGTCCAAACAGGTAGCTGGTGAGAACATTCCACTAGGAACATTCCACTACCAATCACAAGGCCACATCATAGTGAAGAGATCGAGAAGAAAGCCTTCAACAATCTTAATGTGTAGGCAGGCTAATATAGATTTGTTAGCCCTTAACACACTTCTTGATACTCTGCGTTGTGCAAAGAATTAATGTGGCCATAGTGATAAAAGCAGGGCTTTTTCTCAGAGCTTTTTCAGGGCTTTTTGCTCTTCATAGCTGAAAGAATTTGGGCACTTCAGCACAAAAAATAAAAAATTAAGGCTCTGACATTTCTGTTATTTCAGAGAAGGCTTATGGGGTCACTCTAGGTTGTGTCGGGTTCTAGTACAGTACATACACTGGGAGGATTGTGATTGGGCTCACATTGAGAGGGCTGTGATTGTGTAACTCTCTAGTCCCTTCAGACAAACATACACTTTCTATGGTATAGAGCTTTTTGGGTGGGTGCCATGAGATTTACTTACTTTTCCACTGTGAAGGAAAGATAATTAGCCAGATTGGTATGTGAACCAATCCTCCTCTAGGCAATGTGTGGATATCCTTGAACTCTAGCCGGGTTGTCTGTGGGATTAAGAGGGTACTCTGATGATCCACTTTCTTATCTCGGCTCTTGACAGTAGCCTAACAGAACTGTAGCAGCAGTCATTTAGCAGCCATTATTTTTAGTTTCTTAGTGTGACATAATACCAGGGCACTGTGGGGCATTTAACAGTGCATCTCACAGTCTCAATCCCTATGCTCAACGCAGTTTACAAAATAGAAAAAGATGGTTTATTTTAAAATATGTGGTACAGTATTCTTGTCACAAAGCTCTGGTGTTAGAGAAATATAAAATAACTCTGGCAGAAAATGAAATTTGCAACCCCTCTTCTTTCAGCATGCCTTGTGATACCTTGTGGAGTTAGCTGTTCTGTTAACAAATTAGGATTTCAAGACTTTGATTCAGTCAGAAGCATAGCAAAATAACTATATGAAATAGCAGAATGCCCCAAGTGTGTGTGTGTGTGTGTGTGTGTGTGTGTGTGTGTGTGTGTGTGTGTGTGTGTGTGTGTGTGTGAGAGAGAGAGAGAGAGAGAGAGAGAGAGAGAGAGAGAGAGGCAGAGGTGGTCAGAGAACAATGTTCTCTCTAATTTTCTGTTCCCCCCGTGCATGTGTGACCCCACCCCGAGTTCCATCACAACTGGAACCAAAGAGGCTGAAAATGATTGCTGTGGGTGCGCAGAGGAGGAGGAGCCTTGCATGGAGGGGGGTGAGCTGCACATGCGCAGGTGTGCACCTTAGAGGGAACCTTGTCAGGGAGAGAAGAAAAGCGAAACTGATCTTTCTCCCTTTTAGTATATCATTTTTTAAAAAAATAGTGAGTATAATAAAAACTAATTTCCAAAATAAAATGGTTTGTTCATAGAACACTTATATATCTCCAGAGAGAACTAAGTTTTTCAGAAGCTGTCATGAGTTATACATAGAACATATAGCCAGCTCCTTGTTTTAGGTTTTTTTAATTGTTGTTTTTAATTCTATTGCATTTTGGACTGTAAACCGCCCAAAGTAGATTTATCTAGATGGGTGATATAAAAGCCAAATAAATAAATAAATAAGCAAATAAAAATGTGAGCCAGAAATGCCATTGTCTTTACTACTGATACTAAAAATGTGTTTTGATGTCAGAAGGAGCTATGGTTTATCATGATCTAAGTAAAGCTCAAGAACCTTTTTTCTTTGCCCTCCCCCATCATCAGAGGACAAACAAGGGAAAAAGTGGAGTCTTGTGGACAGAGAAGTAAGAGCTGCTATTATAGCATTTACTCTTACTTAATGAGCTCTTGAGTATGCAGTCATAGTCTCCATTTCTGGCAGCCTGAGGCAAACATATTTATTGCTGAAGCAAAAGATCACAACGTGGTGAATTTTTTTCTCAGCTCTTTTATGATAAAATAATATTGAGATAGCACTCCTGTGTGTACAGTAATAAATGTGTTTCCAGATGATGATATTGTCCTATTGCCTTCCAATTATTTGAGGGTTGGGTTTTTTTTTTCATATCTGATTTGTGGTTATTACTTTCAGTGGAGTTATGGCATCAGTCTGCACAGTATAGGCTGGACTCATTCTCACATAATCCTTATAATGAGAAACCCTGAATATTGAGTTCCCTCCTTTGCCTGTACCAGCCACTAAGGAAGGTATCGAATAAAGGTGTAAGACCTTCTTTGGTTCTTCTTGGGATGTGAACAGTGACATGAAATATAGCATTGCTAAGGCTGTCTTTTGGCCCTTTTCTATCGGAATAGGTCTCAGTAGGTCAACACGGATAAAGCATATACTTTGTAATTAGAGATAAGTTTTCTACTTCCGCTGGATTTGGAAAAGAAATGTGGCTGTTGCATAGTTAGTTGCGTACACTGAGATATGTGATGATTTAGCGCTGCTGATAAAGTAAACATAAATAACAGAATAATGAGAGTAAACATATAAATAACAGAATTAGTCAGGTTAGCTTGAAATATCTGTAGCCTGATAGAATTTTTTTAGTAGTGCTGGCTTCAAATTTGGGGGAGCTCTCATTAAACTGTACCTAGTTAAAAGTGCAGGTGGCCATTTGAATTCATCACAAATACTCCAGTGCAGTACTACAGTTAGAGCGTTTTATGAAATGAAGATGGCAGAGAGTTTAGAAGAGTTTAGAAGATATCTGCACTGGTGGGTCCCTTGGGATAGTGGGTGGTTCTGGTGCCAGATCTGATTATTTGATCTGCTGGCTGTGCAGCTCCCATACAGAATAAATGACAGTAATGGGACAGAAATGGCTGCTTGTGGTTTGAGGGAGATATGACAAGCCTCTTGCAGTGCTGCTAGGTATTTTGTTCTTCTGCCTTTCTTCAAATGCAGCATCCACACCATCTGCTGTATAATTTATTTCCTGGCTGCCAGTATTTCAGTCAATCTTGGGTCCTTGCCCTTTTTTTTCCTTTTCTTTTCCTGGGGATGCAACTCCCTGCTTCTTCAGTCTTACCCTCCATCTCATGGAGCTAGTTTCTGTAACTTGGGGGTGGGGAAGTGTCTCATTTTGCAGTTAGAACCTGAAAGGAAGTCAGGTTCCTATATTTTTCCATTCCCCTTTCCTTCTTTTCCTTTTCCTTCTCCTCCGCTTTCCCTTTCCTTACTCCCTCCATTATACCCCTACCCCACCAGCCTGTGCAGTTGTTACCACTCACCGTGAACTAACACCCCCCCTGGTGTTTGCATGCAGTCATTGCATCCAGCAGATCCTGGAGGCTGTTCTCCATTGCCACCAAATGGGGGTCGTCCACAGAGACCTCAAGGTGAGTTTTCTTCCCCACTGCTCTGTCCGTCTGTCCGTCTTTGTATCTTTGCATGTGTTTTCCCCTGAAAAACAAATGGATCAGTTCTCAGTTATTTAAAACAAATTTCATGACAATCCTATTTCAGGATCCTTATGTAATCAGCCTGTATGGATAGCTGCAAGTTATTATTTGACCTTCAATTAGGACACCTCTGCGACAATCCAATCAGAAATCAGCTTCACGATACCCGCAAATGTATTGTCCTCTCTCTCTCTCTCTCTCTCTCTCTCTCTCTCTCTCTCTCTCTCTCTTCCCCTCCCTTCTATAATTCCTTCTTTTGTTGGCTTGGTAGACCCATGAGATTCACATTCCAGTGCTTCTGGTCAGGCCTCCTACATGAAATCTTTCACTTCCCCTCTAGAGATGATTGTAATGTTTGAGGCAGACACTCAGTCTGGCAGACCTTTTACTGTGCACTGTATTGTGAGGGGAGGGGAGGACAGAGCTAAAATTTTAACTGTAGTGTGTTGCCACATAGTGGTAAAAATTGCAAATTACATGTTTCACTTTAATTTGGTGATCAAGCAGAACATTTGAAAGGGGGGTGTTCAGAAAAGTTCTTTCTTCAGGAATTAGGATGGGGTGGTGGTAGTGGTCCAGACTGCACTGATGTGCACTAGTGCTTGGGTGGCACAGTTTGTTTAGCTGAATTTTTGGCTTGCCACTTACTGTAACTGCCTTTGAGGGTGGGAGACTGATGTGAATTTCTTGGAATACCACCCTGCATTTGTAGTTATGTTGCTGCAGGGAAAAAAATCATTTCTCCTACCTATTTTGATCAGAAAAGCAGAAAGGTACCTGCTGGATCAGCGTAGAGGTTCAAGATGCATTCTCCTTAACATTTCAAACAGTCTGTTAATGAAGCTGGAACCTTCCGATTCCATTCATTCCAGGGACAACGAAGGAGATTGCTGGCTGAGCAACTAGCAATTACTCCCATGCCTTCCATAATCCCAAATATATGCCATTGTCTGACCACTAACTGAATGCTTTGTGGTTGCCCTGTGACATTTGATAGTCCTGGCAATAAGCCCATTTTGCTTTTGCATGTTGCATGGGGAAGTGTGCTGTCACCCCTTAGTGTTGTTTGGCTAATCAGAGCTGATTTCTTGGCAGCTGTTGGGTGACAGTCTGGGAGATGTGTGTTGGTGAGGTCTAGGACAGCCAGCCTGCAATGCTTTCAATAAATTACTTATTTGGTTCCCCAGCTGCTCCCTGCTTTCTCCAATTTCTTTTTAACCACTCATCTTCTCACGTCCACCATTTCTAACTTTTTCTTCTCCCATGGTGGGTGTGTGGGGTGAAGTTTCAATATGATCAGAATTGCCTAAGGATGAAACAGATGTAACTTTTCTCCAGATGTTTGCATGCATTCTGTCTAGTTTAAATGTGTGCAAATGATTGTTTTCTGTGACTCACCGTATTGGATTCCTTTTTTGTTTGTTTACTCTCTGTCTGGCCTCTTTATAACACTCTTTCAGTAGGTCTAGTCAGTGAGTATTATAAAGAGATGTGTTTGAGTCTAATGGAGTGTTAAGGGTTTAACAATGTGTGTGTTTGCTGAGAGTGGCAATGGGATAAAGGTGAACCCTTACAATAACTACCCTGTGTCTGTGTTTTTGCAAGGTGTAAAAGACACTGCTTTCTGAATAGTTCTGTGATGTTTGTGGTTGCTGACAAAGGTTCTGGGCTTCCCCTTTCATTCTACCTCTGTCGTATTTGCTGATCCTTTCTCTTTGAGATTTTCACACAAGAACTGACAAATATTTGAAATTTTGTAGGCTACAGCTGCCAGATAGTTTTGGGGACCACAACACTTAGAATTCCAAGCTGACAAAGTCATGACCCAGAAGATTCTTGAAGTTGTAGTCCAAAAAAATTACATTTCCACACTCTGGAATTTGTCAGAAATTTAAACAGACTTAAAAAGACACGATTCTCAATTGATTGAACTTTCAGCTTAATCATACACTGCCTTACCATTTCTGCAACACAAGTAGACTTATTCTGAGGCTGGAGGAAAACACTGAAGTTCCAAAGTTCTTATTTAGGTTATTTTTACAGCTGCTTACCTTTGAGATAGCATTGATTTTGAAATTGCCTAACAGAATTTTGGTAGCAGCTACCTAAAATGTGACCAAAAGCAGGATTAATTTAAAAAAAAAAACATGCCATTAAAATGTCCAGAGAGCTTTCAACAATGTTACTTATGCAATTGGGTTTCTTGCTGTGCATTACATTGTTGGTAAAGAAAATTAGGCTAGCTAATGCATATGGCACTATGCTTAAGATAATGATGTAGCAGATTTTGTGGTTCTTAATAACAGAGCTTTTCGCCTTTTGAAACCACTGTTGAAATGGTGCGCCATGCAATCTGGAATTCTGTTCTAAAAAACTGAGTTTTTGCATATAGTATTTTGTTATAATGCAGTGGAAGCAATAGCGATGTATGAGAATCTGACAGATGACTCTATCTTTAATAATAACAACATGACTTTACATAGTTGTAGTTGTAGAAGAGGTAGCCGTGTTAGTCTGTGCAAGCAATATAAGTAAAAACAAAATAAAAGTAAAAAATAATAAATACAAATATTTAAAAATGACCCAAATATAAATAATAAGTATAAATATTTGCCTTGTTATATCTCTTTCTCTTACGTCTGAGGACGTGGACAACAAAAGCTCATATATTAGATATATTTTTCTTTAAGGTGCCACCAAATTTTTGTCTTTTTATTTTTTATTTTCTTTTTGTTTTTTTACTTTTATTTTGGTTTCACCTGTAATGATTTGATATGTACTCGTACTAGTTCTTTACTTTGAAAGGTACTGTCTTTCTCATTTAGCATAATCATTGGTGTGGACTGATCTTATAATTTCCAGCTATATGAATCCTTTGATCCAGAGTTGATGGTACTTTGTTGTAAAGGAGGTGCAAGAAATATTTTGTATATATTATATTGTATATATAAGAAACAAATATATTTTATTGTATTCATACAAATGATATCATTTTAACAATTATGATAAAGGAGGCAATTCTCTATCTGGCTTTGTGAAAGAGGTGTCAAGAATTAAATCTTTTAACAAAGCAGTGAATACTTAAAAAATCAAATCATTCAGAATTTTACTGCTGTTCATGGGAGCAACTGATGTTAGAAATACCTAAAAGCAACACCAGTATAATATGTTTATTAGGACCAAGTGAAAAAAGTGGTGGACAATCTTCTGAGCTCACCAGAACATTTTGCTAGATATTAGACAACAAAACAAAAATACTGTACATAGAATAATTGAATTGGAAGGGGCCTATAAGGCCATAGAGTCCAAACCCTGATCTGTACAAGTCAAAGCAAATCTGACAGATGGTTGTCCAATTCTCTCTTGAATAACTCTGGTGTTGGAGTACTCACCACCTCCTGAGATAATTGGTTTTTTTTTGTTGTTGTTGTACTGCTCTAACAATTAAGACATTTTTCCTGATATTCAGCCTAAATCTGGCTTCCTGTAGCTTGAGCGCATTATTGTGTGTCCTGCACACTGGGACGATCAAGAACAGATCCTGCCCCTCTTCTGTAAGACTAGACTTTCAAGTACAGTATTTGAGAAGTACTGTCATATCTCCTCTCAGTCTTTTCTCAGGGCACATACATAGATTCATAGAATTTCTAAACAAAAAGAAAAGAGGAGTGAGAAAGAGAAAATATTTGGTCAACGTGTTTGAAAAGCCTCATTTGCAGATTATAACAGTAATTTTGTGCCATTCTGTGTGAGGTACTTTGAAGCCAGTTTCTCTGTATTCAGTAGGGTTTTTCCTAGAATGCATGTTTACTAATTCAGTTAAGTTAAAGCAGCAGTGGGGCACATGTGGCCTTCCAGATTCTTGAATGAAAGAAACACCTATGAGTCTGCAACATTGGCTATGTTGGCTATGTGTGGGAGAGTTGCTGTCTAGAGATGGGATATTCGTATTCATCTCTCAGGGGAGATGAATACGAATATTGCCACCACAGGTGGCTGTGCCAGTTGGACCCTCCCCGTAGAATCGGGCTGTCCACTTACTGTTTGCAGTGCAGTGCATGTGGCTGTTGTAATTCATGCTGCAACATTTGCGAAAGTAGCCGGGCCGGGACTTTCCCTCCTCTGCACTGCTGAGTAGTCTAGTGAGAAGGTGGGATGATGAGTCTGCCTGCTCAGATGCTGAGTGGTCAGCAGCACAGGGAGGCAAGGAAGCTCCGCCCAGGCTACTTTCTGCGCTGCACGTGGTAAGTGAACAGCACTCAGGATACAAATGCAAATATCCCATCTCTATTGCTGTCCAACAATATCTGAAGAATTGTGAATTCTCACTCCAGGTAAAGAACGATAACTGTAAAATAGTTGTCTGATTAATGTTTAATATACAGAGGAAACAATGGATGATCTCCATTTGAAGATACAGAGTGAACTATCAAAAATGAATTAAATATAGGACTACCCAATGGCCTAGGTCATCATTAAGATGTTTAGTAGATGTGTAATTGCTCCTCTCATTTATCAAACAAGAACTGTGTGGCAACGACTGATAATGCTTTCTATTGCTGGTGACGTTAGGTGTACTGTTGCCAAAATATAAGTACACTATATGTATTTGAAGGTGAGTTCCCTTGATTATAACAGAACTTATTGCAATGTGACTAATTCATTTAACTTTCACTAAATGAATATAATCGCTATTTTCAAATCTTTTACAAAGAATGAAGTGGAAACTAGATGGAAGAAGCATGAAGATAAAGAATGCTTTTTCATATCAAATACAGTGGTGCCTCGCATAGCGATCGCTCCGTATAGTGATGAAATTGCTTTGCGATGGACTTTTTGCCATCGCAAGAGCAATCGCTTTGCGATGGCCCCTATGGGGAAACTTCGCCCCCATTTTCGGCCAGCTGATCAGCGGTTCCAAAATGGCCGCTGGGTAAACAAAATGGCCGCCTGCTGTTTTGCCTTGCTTTAGAGGCACTGAAAATGGCCGCCGCAATGGAGGATTTTCGCATAAGGCTAGTTTTTAAGCCCATTAAACCCGTTTTAATGCGTTTCTATGGGCTTTTTGAAATCGCTTAGCGATGAAATCGCTTTGCAGCGATTTTTGCTGCACCGATTAACATCGCTAAGCGAGGCACCACTGTATTTGGTCAAATAATGATCTTTGGAATTTATTACCTGTTAATTTTTTTCTGTATTTTGACTCCTTGACCAGTCAAAGTATGCAGGGGCAGTTTGTAATGTTGACTATAAATTCCCCAGTGAAATTATGGCAAAGATACTTTCAGCCAGACTTATATCTCCGGTCAGAACTTTCCTAGACAGTTCAGAATCATAACATATGCCTTGTATTAACATTGTAAAACGGTTTGTGAGTTGGTCCTTAGATACAGAAATATTCTGTACCTTTGTGCAGTCTAGAACATAGAATTATAACTATTACAACAAATAAAGTATTTTTGTGACAGAAGATGGTCTCTTCCACATCTGATGAGTCTTCTGGGATGCTTTATTTCTTACTCATGAATATAGTGACCCCCCCCTATTATTTACTTATCTATGGTGAGGGGTTTGAAAAATGGGACTAAGAAAAATGAGGTATAACAAATATCATGTCTGACTCTTCCTGTTGGATTTATAACATTGGTAATACTTTGAGTCATGAAATCATTGGGATTCAGGTTGGTCACAACTCACCCAACTCCCCTTGATTTTAGTGGGTTTACTCCGAGTATGACTATATCCGGAACTAACCCATATTGTGGAGTGATCTTTCAGTGGGTTTTGAATGGTGAGATGATTTGATTAATTCACTCCAATGTGGTTATGTCCTACTCTAGAGTAATATTGTAAAAAATTGCAAATAGGAGGTGATACTCATTCTGTTGTAGTAAAGGTGGATGAGAGGGATCCTTATGTGTGAAATCTGGCCATTATCCATCCTAGTTGTGACACTGAGTGGAACTATCATTCTGCCAGGGATGCGATGTTTCAAATTGGACCTTTAGTGGCAGAGTATCATGAGGAGGTGGGAGCTGAGTTTGGGTGACACCTTTGAATAAGGGTGGCACTTTACCTACACAAAAAAAGCAAATTGGGAGGAAGTAAATGAAGCTTCGGGACATAGTGGCGCTGTGGGTTAAACCGCAGAAGCCTCTGTGCTGCAAGGTCAGAAGACTAGCTGTCGCAAGATCGAAGCTCCCGTTGCTTGTCGCAGCTCCTGCCAACTTAGCAGTTCGAAAGCATGTAAATGTGAGTAGATAAATAGGTACCATCTCGTTGGGAAGGTAATGGCATTCCATGTCTAGTCACACTGACCACATGACCATGGAAACTGTCTACGGACAAACGCTGGCTCTATGGGATGGAGATGGGGATGAGCACCGCGCCCTAGGGTTGGACTGGACTAAATGTCAAGGGGAACCTTTACCTAAATGAAGCTTCATAGTATTTTGCTTTTTAAAATCCCATCACCTTTTCATCTCTAAATACCAGTTCTACAGCAGACATTCCCTAGTAGAATTAACTGTTAATAGTTAGCCAAAAATGATGAAGTTGTATAAAACCAGTTGACAGCTTTCCAGCACAATCCTGAGTGTGTTAATGGATAATAAGCCGTCCTGTGTAACAACAAGAATTGATCCTTATGAATCACTTCCCTGTGCTTCCCTTTTGGAGATTATTTTTGTGCTAATTATTTGACTAAGATGTAGGAGTTGGAGAGTGGTTTCCTTTATACTCCCAGAGTTTTCTTCCTGAAAGCATTTAGTAGAAATGTGCATAGTGTGCAGGGCATCACCTTTTTATAAAGGTGTTTGGTGACACACTGGCAGCCAATGCTTATATTTAATCTGTTGCCAGAGTTGGCACATGCTCTCTTCCTGTATTGTTTGTAACACTGCCAAAGTTTCCTCCAGAATATTTGAATCAGTGACTTCTTCTGTCTTTCCTGCATCCTACAGATATATTTGGAAGTCTCTAGGTAACATACCTGGGGGATGGGAGGAAAATAGGGAAACTATGACACAAAACATGTATCATTAATATTAACAGGTAGAACCAAAGGTCCAAGCAAAGGACAGAATGGAGGGAAGCCCTTTCCTGTGCATGTTTTGTGGATAGAATGTTGTCTGTTGTGTTGTCAATTTATAAGCTGGGAATTGAAAACAACAAGATCATGCTCTGTCTCCCTAATGTTTGAGCCAGTAACTTTTTTAGCTTCATTGTTCTGTAGAGATCATGCTGCAAATTTTTAGGTATAGCTCACATTTCTACATTCCTAATCAAAGTGGTTAGGTAGAACTAGAAGAGTTAAGGAGCACCTTCAATATTATGTTGGATGGTAAGCCAGTCTAGCTATCAGGGCTCATAGACCAAGCTGTGAATCAGCTGTGTGACATAAGCAGAAGGCAGACCCATGGCAGTCCGGTTTCTTCAGAGCCAGTATGTGCAGATTAGTTGAGTAAGCAAAGCCGCAAGCCATTCAGGAAATTAACCTCAAGCTCATTAGCCAATCTCATCTGATACTGAAGATGGTGATCACTTAGGCCATAACCATAAGCAAAGCCTTTACAATTGAACAAAATCTATCCATGGGATTTCTTTCCCCATCTAAATTTAATTCTGTAATTGAAATCCTCAAGTTATTCATTGCAGAGGTGATAGATGCCCAAGTGACATAATCAGCTTTTATTGTTACACACACACTCTCTTTTTAAGTGAATGTAGTAATGCTTCGATGAGACAAGGTGCACATTTTGAAGGTGCATCTATTGTGAGATTCCCAGTTCTGTGTGGTGGATAGTATCATATTAGGATTCAGAAGACCTTGGTTCAAATTCTTGCTCAGCCAGAAATTCACTGATGTGGCAATGTTAAAATCACTCTTTAAAATAACACAGGTTGGAAATCCTACTAGGGTCACTTTGGGTCAGAACTGATGTGATGACACATAAAACACACACATATGCAGTACAGTGTCATGTAGGTTGTATTACTAAATAGGACAAAATCTTGCCAGCCCTCTTCCAAATATGGAAAGTTCCTCTTGTATGAAGGAATCTATTCACAGGGCAATTTTACTATGACCAGAAGTACAGTTTTAGACTCACAGTAGAGCACAATGTGTTTTTTCTGACACTACCTCAATAAAAAACAAATTGCTTTAAGGGCAGTCCTTGAGAATAATGAAAGGGCTAAGCTGTTTCTGTGTTACCCTTTCCAATAGACTTTGTCTGATGAATTGGCTATTTCCACCAATAACTGGGAAAGTGCCATTTGCAAAAACAGAAATATTTCTCACTGGTATAAAATGGAATCTGAGGGGAGTCTATAAGTAGAAGAGATTATTGTGGATCACTGTACACTCCTGCCTGTGTCCACTCAAAAGAAGCCTCACTGTGTTTGTTATACAAAACTGCTTCTGAAGAGATATGTCAGATTGGGCCTTGGTCCTCACGAGCAGCAACCCAGCCAGCCAGTCATAATGTCAAAATATTCAGTCCTCCACCAGTGTTGCATGCTGCAAGGATGTTTTCTCCTGAAGTATTCTCCCATGTGCAAGGTTTCCTCCTAAAGTGTGCGCTTGCATGACTCCACCCCCCCAGCACAGCCTTCCTCCTCCGTGCATCACCAGTGATCGTTTTCAGCCCCTTTGGCTCTGATCGTGATGGAACCACATGTGAAGTGGGATCGTGTGCGCTCGGGAACAAAGTCACACCTGCGAGGGGCAGAGCCCCAGCCAGCAGGGCTGAAAATTATAGGGAATGTTCCCCATGTGTCCTAGTTAGGGGACAGGGTTACCTCCAGAGAATAGCTTATCCTTTTACCTGCTTCTCTCTCACATATGTTTGGGGAGTGATTGCAAATTTCTAATCACCTTCTGCAAACTTGTTGTTGTTGTTTCTGTTTATTCCCCTCTCCCTTTGTACATTAAACCAAACTCAAACAATACATGAATTTTACTAAAATGGCACCCTATGTTGAATTGGGTCATCACGACAGCCGGAGAACCTCCTTCTGGCCAGCAAATGCAAAGGTGCAGCGGTGAAGTTGGCAGATTTTGGTTTGGCGATTGAGGTGCAAGGAGACCAGCAGGCCTGGTTTGGTAAGTACTTGTCGGAATAACTACCCTTCACCCTTTGTCAGTTTACTTTTGTTATCTAGTCATCAGTAAAGACACATGTTGAATTTTGCTTCCTCCCTCAGGCTTTGCCGGCACGCCCGGCTATCTTTCTCCTGAGGTTCTACGCAAAGAAGCTTATGGGAAACCTGTGGATATCTGGGCATGTGGTAAGACCAGTTGTAAGGCGTAGTTTGTCAACATTTTCAAGTTTACTTATACCCAGTACTTTGCAAGTACAGAATTATGGGCTTTGTGATTCCTTAGAACTCACAACAGCTCAGTTAGGTAGGACTCTTAAAAATAGCTAGTTTGTGGCCCTCCTAGATTTAGCCAGACCCTGCTGTTCAAGAAACCAGTCCTTTGTAAGAATATTTATAATTAATTTTTATTAGAAAAATAGAGTTTCAGAGAATCAGTTTATATTGCTCAAGCTTTAGCATGAAGAACATATTCAAAGATCATTACAGTTAAATAAAATAACTGATTCCCATTAAAATAACAAACATTACTAAGGTGGGCTACAGTGGGCTACCGTTACCTCCTTCTTTCTTTTTACTTACGTCCTCTCTCCTTCAAGCCGCATATTCAAACCATCAAGTTCTTTCTCTCTCCCATCATCATGGAATCGATTTCCAGAACAGAACTTCTTTCACATAATCCATCGTCCATTTTCTACACTCTCTAACTCCTCCCTTCTTGACAATTCTGGCTGTTAACCAATTAGCATCAAGGGGCTGTAACACCTTCCTCCTCCCTTAATTCCCACAAAAGTCTAGGTGTTTTATCTCTTCTCCAATTAGCTCAGAATGTTGATTCTTCCACAGGCCCCTTGATTTGACCTTCAACTCTTATCTCAAACCGTGCTGTACCGATCTTCAGAAAAACACTCTCATGGCACTTAGAAAAACACATTCCAATGTCTCTCAAATCATCTTCACACAGAACCTGTCTGACTCCATCTTACATTTCTCTGACCACATATCTCATACTGCTTCAACTTCATCACATAGGGCAGGTGGGGGAGTTGCAGTTGAACATAATTTAGAGGGCCACAATATGCCCATCCTGACCTACATAGTCTAGAAGACATTTTTGCACAAGCTAGGAGCTGAAGGACTCACTCTGGGTCTGTAGAACAAGTAACTGGATATAGATTTCAAGTCTACAGTCCTTGTTTAGTCTAAAGGTACAATTTATGTATTTCTTAGTATTTTTATTGATTTCTGTCTTACCTTATTTATAGAACTTTCACAGAGAAAAATAAGTGGCTGAAATTCAGTAGTAGGTTGCAACTGGAGTAGGCCCATTGATTCAACAGACATTTGGTGAGTCAAGTCCTCCATAAATTTCATTGATTCAATGGGTCTACTCTACTTGTGACTTACTACTAGATTTCAGGCACTAAAAGAACATAGTACTAACACTATTAATATTGTAAAAACAGCAGGTTGGATCAAAACCTTTTCATCCTTTAAATAAGCCTAATGAAATGAGTGATAAGTAAATCAGCATATTGACTTTTAAAATATTTATATGTTTGTGCAATAGTAGTTATTTTCATGGGACAGCAAGTTACCACTTGTTAAGTGATTTACGTTTTCATCTGTAGCCAAGCTGCAGCTCAATTGGTGCTTTCTAAAGTGGGAAGCTCTAAAATTCTAAATTTAAAAAAGGGCAGAGGGCAAACTGAAACAGTCATAGTAAGAGAAGTCATGGAAAGGATATAGAAGGTGTAGAGCAGTGGTGTCGAACTGTGGCCCTCCAGATGTTCTTGGACTTCAACTCCCAGAAGCCTTCACCACCACCTCTGCTGGCCAGGATTTCTGGGAGTTGAAGGCCAAGAACATCTGGAGGGCCACAGTTCGACACCTGTAGAGACTGTGCAGGGAGAATGAGAAAAGCCGTAATTTGACACTAATCTTAAACTGAATTGATCATCTTTTGAATAGTCTATCTGTCCCCCCAATGACTAAGCTAAGCTAAGCCTAAGCTGTCTTATACCAGAGAGCACTGTTTGTCTATCTAACTCAATTTTGGTCTGTTCTGACTGGCAGAAGCTGTCCAGGATTTCAGACAGAAGCTTTTTCTAGTCCTATCTGCAGTTGTTACAGATTGTGTATAGAACTTTTTGCATGCAGTGTTTGTGCTCTAGTCCTGGAGTCTAGTCAGTGAAGCGCTCCTGAGGCAACTGGCCAATGCTAAATTGAGAGCTATGCATTTCTCTTAAACCACTTATCTCGAGTCAACCCTCGACTTACAAACTTATCCAGAAGGATGTTCGTAAGTTGAAAGGTTCGTAAGTCGAATCCAAATTTCCCATAGGAATGCATTGAAACTTACTTAATGCATTCCTATGTGAAAAAAAGTCATAAACAACAACAAAAAATTAAAACAAAGTCACTTACCAGGTACTGCAGACCGAGCCTGGCTCCTCACAGCACCCCCGCAGCCGGAAGAGCCAGAAAAAGAGCGCTCAACAGCTGAGTCAGCAACCAGCAGGCAGGCTGCAGCCATCCCGGAGAGAGAGCAGCCATCTTGAGAGACAGCCAGTGGTCGCCTCTCAAAATGGCTGCCGCCTCTCTGCTCTTTTTCCAGCTGTTCCGAGGCCACAAGTAAGTGACTTTTTTCTTCTAATGGTGCTGGGAGGACTGCCTGGGGACCTCTGTAAGCAGCGCTGGCGGCGGGGGGTGGGTGGGGAGGTCGTAACTCGAATTTAAGTTTGCAAGTAGAGGGAATATTTCCCTATCAGAGCAGCTCATAAGTAGAAATGTTCGTAAATATGGCCGTTCGTAAGTCGAGGGTTCCTAGCTTTCCACAAAATATTATAAAAGAAGAATCAGGGATGTCAGCCTGTGTTCAAGTAGGGGATATATTTATATTTTCAGCTATTCTTTCATCTCAGGCCTGGGTAGAAAGCCTAGTCAACACAGAGGCTAAATTCACAGTTCTAACTGTGCTGCTATCTCCTTCATTTGCCTAGGTGTTATTCTTTACATCTTACTGGTTGGATATCCTCCTTTCTGGGATGAAGACCAGCACAAACTATACCAACAGATTAAGGCTGGAGCCTACGATGTGAGTAGTAGCTCAGTACATTTGTCCTCTCTCTTGTTTCTAGTACATTTTTTATTTTGGTCCTTATCTGCAGAGGGCAATCAGGCATCTTCTTCTTTTGGAGGATGGGGCCGTGTATGTGTCACACAGTACGTCCTGCACCATCTAAATGAACCTGCTCCCCCACTTGTAGTTGAAGATGCTATACCTTTGTCAGTGTTGTGTCAATTCACAATTCATTAGCTTCTGCATATGGCATGAACAGGAGCATCATCTTGTTCTTCGAGCCATTCTTGTGTCCTATTATAAAATAGCATTCATAGCAATGTATTCATAACATTTTAACATCACCCATTAGCCAAAGTGTTCTGGCTTGGGACAAGTGGAAACAAAAAATGCAAGATACCAATAAAATAGCTCTGACTTGTGGTAACCCTTTGCAGGGTTTTCTAGGTAGAGAGTACTCAGAAGTGGTTTACCATTCCTTTCTTCTAGAGGCATTCAGGGACTGTGCAGCTTGCCTAAGGCTACACAGACTGGCTCCTCTAAGACACACAGTGAGGAATTGAACTGCCAGCCACTAACTCACTGAGCTATCCAGATTCCCAGTGGGGTGACTGGGTAGAGTGGCTAACGAGGACTCTGGAGAACAGGGTTCAAATTCCCACTTGGCTGTGGAAACTCACTGAAGGAGTGGATCAGGAAAACACTCCTTAAATATCTCACTTACTTTGAAAGCCCTATTAGGACCTCTATAAATCAGTTCCACCTTGACAGCACAGAACAGACACATACCAATAAAATAATGGTAATAAAAATATGAGATAAAAGTCAGATTAAAAGCAGTATCATTAGCACATAAGAACACCAAATATAAAAGTAGAAGTAGGATATAAACATGGTAGAGATTTAACAGCACTAAAAACATTTCCTATAATGCTTACAGAAACTTTTTGAAGCCACTGTGTTAAAAGAAAGTGCTGCAAGCATTATATAACTCAGCATCCTGACTCCTTTTAATCAAGGGGCAGTTTAATGGCATAGAAAAATGCATGAGATTCCTATCTTGAAATGCTTTATTCCTCACTTGCATTTTAAAATCAAGAAAGCCTGTGTGCTTGACCTTCTTTGTGTACATGTATCTGGTTTTGCTAGCTGTGACAAAATGACTGTGGCCCCCCCTCCCAATTGATGTGGTGTTTGTTTTAGCTGTCAGAATGTTCTCCTTTTTTTAATCATTTCATAGAATCTGTGGAACAAAACAAGAGGAGTGTGACACCGTCTGTTCTACAAATCCTTATCTGTTTCTAATCTGCTATTTGAAATACATCTCAAATTCTTAAGGTCTTGTTCATTTGAAAAACTTTAACAGTGTGCGCAGAGGTCACTATTCCCTGTCTCAAAGGGAAAGTTTGGTATTGTCTCCACTTACTGAAATTACTGGCCTTGCTCATTTTAAATCCCCAGCAGTGGTTGAACTTTACTCCTCTTTTCAAAAAGGTGAAGCAAATTTGCAGAAGGTAAATTGTGAAGTGATTTGGGGCATTTGTCCCATTCTTCATGGTCTTTAAAGTATTAGCCCTCTATGTGGTTATAGATACCCAGTTTCAGGTGTGCATCTGTATTGTGTTTCACATCTGCCAGGTAGCCAATACTGTGCAAAATATCACCTCATTTTGATTCTGTAGTATGTACAGTTACATGAGAAATATGCAGGCATGACTGGAATCTGGATAATTGGCTGCTGGGATAAACAAGAGATACAAAATTCATGTGGAACATTGTACACTGGAATGAACGTTTTACTGTGGCACAAATATTTTACTGTGTGAACTCTGTATTTTACCTCATATTTTTGAAGAAGTTGACTTGTCCATGAAAGCTCACATTAAAATATAAGGTCTTCAAGGCTCCGCAAGGTTGTTATTTTTTTTATTTTTTATCATCATCATTTTCTTTGAGTTTTGCCTGATATACAGTGGAATTAGTTATCTTTTAGGTTTTCCAGAAATGTCACTTATCACACTCTACTTTGCTTCACTCCTTTTTCCCCTCACCCCACATCATGTTCATTGTTGCTTCTGCTTGCTTGTATTTCCTGACACCAAATGCATTTCTCCATCTTTCCCTCCCCATTCCCTTTTTGAGTGCAGGCACCATGGCACTCACTAAAAAGAGAGAGAGAGAGAGATGGAGAGGAAGTGATGCAGTAGAGACACTGCATAGGCACCTGCTGCTTCTTGGTTTTTGTTTGTTTGTTTGTTTGTTTTCTGTTATTTTAATTTTGAAAGTGTTAAAGGGAAATCGAAGTGAGGAGCTAAAAAAGGTGTTATTGTATCCCTTCCATCACCCATCCTGCTGAGATTGATGATTCAGCCTGTGGGAAGAGACGAGGAGGCCAACTGAATAGAGCAGAAGAAAGGAGAAAGAGAAAAAAATAGAGAAGGGGAAAAAGAAAGAAAGAAAACAAGAGAGGCAAGCCCCCTTCTTGCCGCCTTTTTCCAAAATCAAGGAGGGGGAAGCCTTCCTGCCCTCCTCTTCCTCCACATCTCCTTCCTCATTCTGCTGTGAATCCTGTGTTACTCCTGAAGTGAGAACAGACTCTAAAGAACCCCTGTGCCAGTACAAATTGGTACAAGATATAAAGAGATTTGGGTGGAAAGGAGTATTGGGTAAAGTCAATAAAAACAATGCAACACAAGTAAGATGGAATATCATGTGGACCTTAGGGGGATTTATGTTAAGGTGGGTGCTTAATAGAGAAATTGAGGGGGTAAAATTTGGAAAAGCCCTATGGAATCTAATTTTCTAATGGCCACTGAACTCTACCAATCACGAATCTACCATCCTTCTCACACAGTAATCTGGGGAAATGTGTGCAGGTTTAGAAAACCTGTTGCTGGTCTTATACTAATGTGGGGCAGCTTTCATTAGTTGAAATCTCATGCTGCACAGGCTGGGTGATCATAGAATAATGGAATTGGAAGGGGCCTATAAAGTCATTAAGTCCAAACCCCTGCTCAGCGCAGGAATCCAAATCAAAGTACTACAGATGGCCTTATAACTTTGTGTTGAATGCCTCTTATGTTGGAGGGCACACCACCTCCTGACAAAATTGTTTCCGTTGTCACGCTGCTTCAACAGTTCGGAAGTATTTCTTGATATTTAGTCAAAATCTGGCTTCCTGTAACTTGAGCCCGTTATTATGTGTGCTGCACTCTGGCATGATAACTTTTCAAGTATCTCAAGAATGCTATCATGCCTTCCTTCCCTCAAGGCTAAAGAAGCCCAATTCTTTCAGTCTTTCCTCGTAGGGTGTGGATTCCAGTCCTCTGGTCATTCTTGTTGCCCTCCTCTGAACTTGTTCCTGTTTCCTGGCATCCTTCTAAAAGTGTGGTGTCCTGAACTGGACACAATACTCAAAATGAAGCCTAACCAGTGCCAAATAGAGGAGAACAAGTACTTGACATGTTTTGGAAACTATGCTTCTGTTAATGCATCTTAAAATCACTTTTGCCTTTTTAGCAGTCACATCACATTATTGGCTTATATTTAGCTCATGTTCTACAAAAATGTCAAGATCCTTCTTGCATGTTTTATTGCTGAGCTATCTTGTAACTTTGTATTTTTTGTTTTGTTTTTCTGAGTGTAAAACTTTATAGTTATATCTGTTACATTTCATTCTGTTGTTTTCAGCCCAGGGCTGAAGCCTTTCAAAATCTTTTTGCATTTTGTTTCTGTCTTCCAGAATATTAACTATTCCACCCAATTTTGTGTCATCTGCAATTTGATAAACATTTCTGGCAACCCCTTTTCCAAGTCATAATTAAAAATGTTGAAGTGCACCAGGCCCAGAACTGAGCCTTCTGGTACCCCACTTGTTACTTCCTTCTAGTTTGAGAAAGAGCCATTGTGTGTCCACTTGATAGTTGTTCTGTCCAGCCAACACCTAGTTAGATTTCCAATCAGAATACAGTGGTACCTTGGTTTACACATTTAATGCATTCTCTGGGACGTTTCTTATTGTGAAAAATTCGTAAACCGGTTTCCTATAGGAACGCTTTGAAAATCAATTAATCCATTCTGGAGGTCAGAAAAAAGTCTAGAAAAAGTTCAAAATATTTATAAAGTGCATTTTAAAGGCATAAGTACTGTACAGGGACATAATTACTCAAGCAATAACATTTCAAACATCCAACTTCAACTTTTAAAACATCACACATCAATCTGTCCACATGGGCTGGCATGGAAACCAACCCACAATGCAGAACACACAGTAAAAGGCATGCCAACAATGAAGCTCAGTTCCCTACCATTCGACCGCTTGAGAAATGCGCCAAAAAAGTTCCAAAAAGTCCCCAAACTGCTGAAAAAATATCCAGAATAGCTCCAAAGTTTCATGCAAAAACCGCTCCAACACCTCCACATTTGATGCCACATGCTACCCACAGACTCCATCATGCACGGGGCGGTGCTATAAATCTCCCAGGTGCAATGCATTCTGGGTAAACTTGCTTTGTATTGCAAAAAAAGTGTAAATCAAGGCATTATTTTCAATTGATTTTCATTCGTAAACCGAAAATTAAGTTAACTGAGGCGTTCGTAAACCAAGGTACCATTGTATCATTATGTCATCATCAAGCAATAGATATCTTTAAATTAGTTATATTTAAAGCTTCCCCTTTTTTAAGAAAAAGGTTCTGAGGTTCTCTTTTGCCTTTGGGAAGCTTTTGGGAGGTCCAGAATGGAGAGAAGCCTTTAATATTGGACAATCACTGCTAATGGTCCCACCAACATTGATTTGAGGGTGATTTTCTGATATTAAGGGTCCCTTCCTGTCATCTTGAGGCTCCTGAAGCTGTTCCAAGGGCAAAACAGATCCTTGGGGAGGATCAATACCTGAAAAGAGGCTGTAATAGGAAGTTTTTAATTAAATTAAATTAAATTAAACATATTCTTAGTCAGATAGCTCATATGGAATAAATTTACATTAACATTTCACCTGTTGATTTGCTAGTACATTCCCAGAGACATCAAAAATATCCTTTGGTTCCACCTGCATAGAAATCCTTTCCATTTGAGATAGTTTCCTGATCAAAAATATGTCCTCTGGCTGTATTTTTTGGGGGGAGGAAGATCTACCCTCTTTTCTCCTGTGCTGACAGCACAGGGAATGTGAGTGAGGGGAACATTAAATACATTTTCTTCTTCCTTTCCTCTGATCAAGCATGCCACATGTTTTTGTATGTCCTGTTGTCTGACCCTTACAAAGAACAGAAGCAGACATATTCTTAAAATCTTTGCCGGTTTTGTAAAGCCTGTATTAGCAGGCAATATTTAAAGAAAACAAATACACAATGAGATGGTGAAATGAAATGAAAGACATTGTTGCAGCTGATAAATTTCATTTGCTTCAGAGCACAGTGAGCTTCAGTTATGGAACATTGCTTAATTTATGATGTGGCTGAATCTTGGCAGACCTTAGAACTCTCTCTGATGCATTTGACTTTCTGTGATTTAAAAACAAATGTTTAATTGGTTCAGAGTATCCCTCATCATTTAACACCGATGTTTCCCCACATACAACCTCCTTATAATATCTTCTTATTCTCAAGTTTCCTTCTCCTGAGTGGGATACAGTCACCCCCGAAGCAAAAAACCTCATAAACCAGATGCTAACAATCAACCCAGCAAAGAGAATCACGGCTCATGAAGCTCTGAAACATCCATGGGTCTGTGTAAGTATCATTGCTACTTTGGCCCTGTTGGCACTTGATGGTTAATGTGCTTATATCCAGTGGAAATAGTTAAGTCTCTTTTTACTTTTTAAAGGAAATCTCATTATATTCTTTGGTGCAACACGCACATGCACATGCACACATACACAAACATTTTTCTCTGCTTTTCCTTTTTCTTTCTCTGTTCAGTTTTCATACAGATCAGAAGCTTTAGACTTTGCTCACTTTATTCCCTTTCTTTTTCCCCTTTTCAGCAACGTTCAACAGTGGCCTCCATGATGCACAGACAGGAGACTGTTGAGTGTCTGAAAAAGTTCAATGCTAGAAGGAAGCTCAAGGTAAGAGCTAGGCACACCGCCTAGGGTTTTCCAATGCTGAATGTAAGTTCTGTAATTCTTTGATTTTGCATCTGCCTGTAGTTCTGGTGTCTTCCATGCCAAGCATGTTAGCTTTTCCTCCCTGATTGTCCCTTCTATTCATAGTCATAGTTAACTGTCTTCCAGTGCTGGGTCACTTCTTGAATGTTTCAATCTAACTCCCTTTGCTGTCAATTATCTTACCTTTAAAAAAAGTCTCATGGAAACCATTCTTACACCAAAAATGTGGCATCTAAATAACTTAGACTATTTAATTGATTGATTGATTGATTAATTGATTAATTGATTAATTGATTAATTAATTAATTTTACCCCACCTTTCTCCTTAAGAAGAACCCAAAGCAGCTTACATCATTAAAAACAATATTTAAAACTAAAAACAGTAGGTATACAATTATTAAAAATGACCAAACAAATTGTGCACTAAAGAGACAGTAAGCAAAAACAACACCAAAAACACATCCAGACCAGTAAGGTGCAATCATCTCTTTAAAAATCTCATTCAGGCAGCCAGTCATTAAGGGAAGGCTTGCCTGAACAGAAAAGTCTTCGCCTGCTTGCAGAAGGAGAACAAAAATAGGGCCAGCCTGGCTTCCTGTGGAAGGGAGTTCCAGAGTCTGTAAGCCCAGAGAAGGCCTTCTCCCCTGTTCCCACCAAACGCAATTGTGACAGTGGTGGGACCGAGAAAAAGCCCTCTCCTGATGTTCTTAACATCGAGGCCAGTTCATAAAGTGATCCCTGTGACTAGTCCCAGTTACCAGTCTGGTTGCAGTGTCGACATAAGTAGATAAAAGTTATGAAATTAAAATAAAAACCTAATTTTCTTTCTATGAATGCCAAGTTTGATCTACCCACAATACCCATGTCTCCCAAAGTGCAAAGGGGCTTCTTCAGTAAAATAAAGTTATTTTAAGAAATTGTAAATTGCTTCTGAATACTCACTACCTAGAAAACGCTAGAAAGGGTTGTCAAAAGTCAGAATTTATTTGACATCACACAATTATTATTATTATTATGTAAGAAAATGATAACATAAACTCAACAATACAATGGACAGCTCTAGGGCATTAGAATGTATCTTTGGTACCCCCACGTATCTTACTAGTTCAACCATTTTGCTTCACAAGGTGTCTCTAACTAATCAAAACTTCTTTTATGTCACTGTTACTGCTGTGAACTGCCCAGAGTAAGTAAGTAACTACGTAAGTAAATTTCCAAGGCTGGAATAATATACAGTTATGGCCAAAAATATTGGCAGCCTTGCAATTCTGTCAGAAAATGCAACCCTTCTCTCAGAAAATGGTTGCAGTTGCAAATGTTTTAGTACTCATATGTTCATTTATTTGGTTTGTGTTGGAACAACACAAAAAAAACCAGAGAAGAAAAGTCAAATCTGATACAATCCCACACAAAAAACCCAAAATGCACTGGCCAAAATTATTTGCACCCTTTCTAAATTGTAAGAAATAATTGCTTTTCAAGCATGTTATGATCCTTTAATTGGCATTTAGACACACCTGTCCCAAGTAAGAGGTGTGGGCAATATAGTAATCACACTTGCAACCAGTTAAGATGGAGAAAAGTTGACTCAACCTTTGTGTTGTGTGTAACACTGGGCATGGAGAAAAGAATGAAGTGTAAGGAGTTGTCTGTGGATTTGAGAGAAAAAATTGTGGAAAAACATCAACAATCTCAAAGCTACCAGTCCATCTCCAGAAGTCTTAATGTTCCTATGTACACTGTGTGCAATATCATAAAGAGGTTTACAGCCCATGGCACTTGTAGCTAACCTCCCTGGATGTGGACGGAAGAGCAAAATTACTGAAAAATCACAAAAAAGGGTTGTTCGAATGATGGCTACAGAACCCAGATTAACTTCCCAACAAATTCAAGCTGATCTGCAGACACAGGGTACAACAGTGTCAGTTCACACTGTCCGTCACCATCTGAATTGGTAGGAGACCCGGGAGGACACCACTGCTGACACAAAGGCATAAAAAAGCAAGACTGGCATGTACTGTGGACAGATGAGACAAAAGTGGAGCTTTTTGGTCAAGGACACCATGGCACTGTCTACAGAAAAAGAAATGAGGCATTCAAAGAAAAGTCCCTATAGTCAAACATGGTGGAGGCTCAAAGATGTTTTGGGGTTGCTTTGCTCCTTCTGGCACTGGATGCCTTGACTGTGTGAACGGTATCATGAAATCTGATGATTACCAAAGAATTTTGGGG